GCTCATTTTCTCAATGGTATTGGCTATTCTTGCCTCTGGATGGAAGGGTTTTTTAATTTTTTTTAAAATTTGTTTGACAGGGGAAAAATATTCTTTAAACATAACTGTCGTTAGCAGCTCCATTTTTTCCTGCTTTGTTACATTTCTAATAGAAGAAAATCTCTATTCAATCTCTGTCGCTCAGATACTATTTCTTTGCGTCAAAAGGAAAAGTCATCAGTTACAGTCCCTTCTAGGATACATCTTTTGATGCGCTCATATTGAGCCTCTGATATTGCAAAGCGTACTAGCTCATTTTCTCAATGGTATTGGCTTTTCGTGCCTAATATTGGCGGCAGTCAGGGCAGGGCAACTTCCTGTTCGACTAGATGACAGCTGCATCTGGGGCTGCTGGCTACCTCGTGGTACGAACAATTTGTCAATGTTTCACAGTCTCAGCTTTAAATAAAATCATGCATGATCATAGTTTCCTTCTCGTGAAATCATAACTTTTCAAAAGTACGCTCTTGGCCGCTAGTGGTACTGATACTGTAGTATCATCTAATCTCCAAATTTCCTCAACATTTTGTACAGAACGAGACCATCGCATCTTTTTCATTAAAAAACAGCAAACAAAGTATTGTTATTTACTTGATTAAACGCACAAGTGCTCGTATGTTAAATGCAATTTCAAAGCATTGCTAGCCACGGGTGGAGCCGGACTGCTGGGCTGTCAATACAATCCAGCAGTTAACATTGATCTCCGGGAAGCCTCAAAGCTCCCGAAAGGATGAAGATTTCTCTGTTCTCGAAATTTATTAACACTCAACAAAATGCGACATATTAATTGAGCACGAATTATTCGAAATAGCTCACAATGTGCCAAAACTGTACGCCTGGCCGACATATTCTGCAAAATCGTGATTTGCTCAATAATGATTTTGCGATTGTTTCAACTCTCTCTCTCTCTCTCTCTCTCTCTCTCTCTCTCTCTCTCTCTCTCTCTCTCTCTCTCTCTCTTTCTCTCTCTCACTCTCTCTCTTTCTCTCTCTCTCACACACACTCATTCACTCTCTGGTAAGATCTACTTGCTGGGTGTGCTTGGATCCGGCTCTACAGGTTAGTTGATTGCCAGTCTATTTAGTCACATAGGTCACGTGGCAGATAGCTCTTAGGTCTCAACAAGGAGATACGTAAATTCCTTTTTTTTAAAGAAACAAACAAAGAAACAAAACCAAAGATTTTAAAATTAGTTACATCTTTGTTTTAGCTTCTCTCATAGCTTAATTTCTGTTTCTTAATTTCTCCACCCCACTTCCCCTCTTTTTTTCCAACTCTCCCACTTTCGTACCACTTACTTTCACTCTATTTTCAAGCCCCACCCCCTCCTCCTTCTCTCTCTCTCTCTCTCTCTCTCTCTCTCTCTCTCTCTCTCTCTCTCTCTCCACTTATATGCACTTATATTCGTGTATGTGTTTGGGTGAGTGCGTATGTTCTGGTACATGTATTCAGACACTATCAAACTTACAAGATATTTCACTGTCTATAGCTGGGCGAAGTCGGGAAAATTCCTGTGAAGTGCCATTCCCAAGGACACAAGGTAAGACGCCTGATGGGATTCGAACCCACACCCTTACGGAAGCTAGTCCGGGGGCCTGACCACTACTAGGTTCCTTTTGGTTTAAAAAAAATTCCAAAGGTGAGATGATGATGTGGATAAAGTCCAACTACGCATGTGTGTATCGCTGTACGTGTCAGAGTGATAATGCGCAGTGAGAAAGAGAAACTGAAGAGCACAATTTAACGGGCTGATAGTTGACGAGTTTTAGTTGTTTAAACGTTTCTAAGTGTTTTCAGGTGTATGTCGGAGTGCTTGTTTATTTGTGTGTGGGTGTGATTTAGTGTGTAACTGGGAAAGAGTAAGCTTGTAAATGCGCGCGCGTGTGTATGTTTGTGTGTGTGTAAGTGTGTGTGTGGAGGGGTGGGTAGGTGTGTTCTGGTTGTGTGTGTGCGAGAGAGAGAGAGAGAGAGAGAGAGAGAGAGAGAGAGAGAGAGAGAGAGAGAGATAGAGAGAAAGAGAGGGGGGGAAGAGAGATATAGTTAGAGACCAAGAGCGAGAACGAAAGAGAGAGGGGGGAAGCGTGGAGGGAGAAAACGAGTGGGAGTGAGTAGAGAGAGAATATGTGTTTTTGCATGTGTTTATACGTGTGTTGTGTGCTTAGAAAACGGAAAGAAAGGACGTTGTATGACGTCCATATCTACGTCTGTAAGACTGGGGAATCCCGCCGCTCAGATTACGTTTGCTTACATTACAAGACAAAAGAAAAAAAAGAATAACAAAAGCCTCTCCAGATGTAAAGATTAAGCACAAGAACAACAAATAGGATAAAGAAAGGTAATTATATGAAGACAAAAATGAAAAAACGTAACCGGAAAAAACAAACAAACAAACAAAAACTGCTTTTATTTTGACGGAGCTGGTTTCTTGTACCTTTGTAAGTTGTAGCGTAACCTCTTTTCACTTTTTCTGGCTGGCTGCATGTATTTAATTAACCGCTTCTTACTCCATTTGCAGTCATGGAGAGTGGAGACGCTGTTAGATAAGAGAGATGAGAGTGACCAGATTAGCGTTTGTTACTTTATAGAAACAGTTGATATTGTTGATGCTGCTGATTTTGAGAGGGGCGCCAGCCTCGTTATGTTTACTGACGACAGATTTAAATTCAAAGAGATAAAGAAAGAATTTTTCAACACACGGAGGCTTCATGTAGACACATCTGTGAACGGGTTCATTGCAGCGCGATTTGGTAGCGGAAAGTCCCGTTGAGTTTCGTTTCCGAGCGTAAAGTCTTATTGCGACGGTGGATTCAAACAACCTGTACTTTCTATTCGTTTGTGTAGACTAACAGCCAAGTCCGAAACATTTTTAAAAGAGCTTTAGAAATTTGGGTTGCCTTCAAATTGGGTTTTACTGGTCGATGTGAGACTCCCGAGTTTTGAGACTTTTCAAGTTGAAAATAGACAATTATTTAGCCATTGATTACTCGAAATCTACTTGTCTTGCTTAAAAAAAAAACTCCTGGGACGAAATCGCAAATGCAAGAAAGAGGCAAGCAAAAGCGACACATATAATTTTTTTATTATATAGATATATGTATATATATATATATATATATATATATATATATATATATATATATATATATATATATATATATATATATATATATTAAAACAAAATAATTGATGCTGAAAAATTGAGACGTCAATAAAATTGTAGTGTGAAAAATGAAAAATTTGACAAAACCAATAAAACTATGAGACATGTACCTCTAAAAACGAAGAGAGAAAGATATAACAGAAGTTTGTCTTTTTTTTAACCATCTAGCGTAAGGTTATTGTCATAATAAGCATCCCTGTGTATTGCTCTTTCGAGAAGGTTTCTATATAACTTGAAAGGTCCTGTAATTAAATTCCTGCATATTGCATCTGGTGTGATATGTACATTTTGTCCCTTTCACTACTCTTTTCAAACTATAGTTTAACCCGAGTAATATATAATTTAAATGTGTATGTATTCCTGCATATTATTATGCTTTACGGTCCTTTACAGAAAAGAAAAATTTCCGCCTGGGATGATAAAGTATTATCTTATCTTATCATATCTTATAAAATAGTGTTGATAATACTGAAAATGGTAATGATGATGGTGATGATGATGATGATGATGATGGTGATGATGATGATGATGATGATGATGATGATGATGATGATGATGATGATGATGATGATGATGATGATGATGATGATGCAATTATAATAATAATAATAATAATAATAATAATAATAATAATAATAATAATAATAATAACAATAATAATAATAATAATAATAATAATAGTTAGAATGTATGGTGCTCAACCTCTAGAAATGGAAGGCGCCCTAAACGCTGTACAATGCAGAATTATCACTCATTATTATAAAGACACCGAAAATATGCATCATAGGACCCAACAC